CAATTAATATGGATTGAAGGAGTACATTATTAGCCCGCCGTGAAATGTGAAAGTTTTACTACTCTCTTCGTTTCAAAATAGATGACTCAATTTTATACTAAAGTCAGTACAAAGTTGGTTCATCTATTTTGGAACGGAGGGAGTACATACTATCTCAATCCTGTTTTATTGGTTCCATTTATATGTTGTGTCAATTTTGATTGTAAATTTAACTAACAAATAAAAATTGTATGCCATAAAACTTATATTGTTGGATTCATATTTAAAAGAAATTTCCAATTGTATATAACTTGTTTTCTGATAGTGAAATCTAAGGTCAAAGTTCACCCCAAACATAAGGGGACTAGTAAACCATTCGGAACGAAAGTAGTACTGAAATAATACTGTAGCGAAGAGGAGATCAAAGTAACACACGCTCAACTAAGGCTGATCACAGTGGTGATATCTTAACCGGTATCATGCATTTCAGACTAGCAAACACGCTGACGTAACAAATAATTAAAGAAAAGAGAGAGGGTTAGAATAACATAGGTAGATAGGGTATCATACAAAATGTAATGTCACTATATGTTATGCATGACAATAAATAAGATGATCTATGATACTAATCTATGATGCTACACATTATGAATGTAGTATTATACACTAGTATCATATGCATGATACTAGTATCTGATAACTAGTATACGATACTCCGAGAGCAGCGATTCAGTGCCCAGGCTCATCTGCACCTGTGATAAATATATTTTTTTAAACAAATACTAGAAAATTTCAAAAAAAAAAACAATTTTCCGCTTGGTAGATAATTTGGTGCATGACGCTGCACTTCAAATTTCAGATCACTTGGACATCTGAGTATAGCTCCCAGGAAAAAAGATAAATTTAGGATCTATAAAAAGGTTTACTGTTAATGTATTGTTCTGACCCAATTTGTCTTTTTCTTCTTCTAAGAGCTACTTATATGTCCAAATGATCTGAAACTTGAAGCGCACCTCTCGCATCAAATTATCTACCATACAAGTGTCCCCCTAATCATCCAACCACATGTTGATTCGCAATTTGTTTATTTTTTTGTAAATTGTTTCTTTGACCGGATGCAGATGATTCTGGGATCAGAAATGGGTACTCGTCACTATGAGTAGCCTAACGGTCGCAATCATGCATGGTGAAGCATTCGAGGAGAATTAATCCAAGCAGGCGCAACGTTGCCACGCCATCGCAGTCGTGCTGAATCATGTCGGCGACAAAAGGTCACGATGTTACCTGTGCCTTGCCTAGCAATACACGCCCGTAATCCTTGTTAGTGGCGGTGGACGTAGGAATAGACGTACCCAGGACAAATACTGCAAGCGTCCAAGCTAGGGGCCGGTCAGACTGATGTTTGGTACGTAGGGTCCGTGGAGAGGATATCTGGGACTCCCACGTCCCATCCCATCCCATGGACGGACGGCAGATCCATAAATCCCATACCCCCGTAGGGCCGTAGCCCATACGTATCCCGTTGCAGTCCCACATCCCATCCCATAGTAGAGTAGACGGCCGAAGAAAAGATGTATTTCCAGTTGGTGGCGGCCGTCCTGGGGTGGATGGCGGACGCATGGGCCAGCGAGGAGAGGCTGCCGCGTGGCCTCTTCATGTCCGGCGGCGTGGGCACGCTGCTGGCCCTCGCCGTGTACATCTTCAGGCCGCCCCAAGGCATGTTTCTCAACCACGGCGCGGCGTACCACGGCACGCTCATCTGCGCCGCCGTCTGGGGCCTTGTCCCCATGGTGGCCGGCATTTGGTTCTCCGCCGCCGAGCTCCGTCCGGGCGCATGGCGCCTCGGCCTCACCATCCTCCCGTTGCTGCTCGTCCTCGCGCTCGTTCTCGGGTGCTTTCTCGCCGTCAATGAATAGTGTTTTTTTCTCTCAAAAAGAGAAATTTCGAATGGACTACCACGTAAGGATGTATATAGACATATTTTATAGCGTAGATTCATTTATTTTGTTCCGTATGTAGTCACCTGTTGAAATCTCTACAAAGACCTGTATTTAGGAACGGAGGGAGTATGTATAGTCCGTGGAGTGCAAATAATGGGTGAGAATCTACCGGTAAGCTGTAGTACTGTAAACGAGGGTCTGTCGCTTGATTGCGTCCACTAGTAGTACAACTAGTGTCGTGTGTAAAGCTATATATGTTGAATATAAATGATTTTAGTACGTACGATGGTGAAAATAAATTCAATGGTGTGCTCGCTCAACTTTGGTTCCACCCATCAACGCTTTGTTTGTTGTTTGATTTATATATTTACGGTGTCGTACAAGGATCTGGTTTGTGTTCTTGTATATGTCTCTGACTGACGAGGATTTTCTGTGGTGTGTTTCACGTGTGTGCCTCCGTGCACAAAACCACGCCACGGGTTATATATACATTCACTACACGGTCTCTGCTCTTCTCGTTCCCCTCGGACGGGTGCTGCGCTTTGATTTCATCGCCCTCCCAAGAATGGACGGCGCGATTGGGTGGCTGGCGGGCAGCATCCTGGACACCCTCTCCGCCGCGCAGCTGCAGGCGTGGATCCGCCGGGCGGGGCTCGCCCATGACATCCAGATGCTCGAGGCGGAGGTCGAGATGGTGGACATCGGATACGCCGCCGTGGGCGTGAGGGCCGGGGACAGGCCGCTGCTGGCCCGCTCCCTCGCCCGCCTCCAGGATCTGCTCCACCAAGCCGACGACCTCGTCGACGAGCTGGACTTCCACCGCCTCCTCCACACTTTCACCTCGCCGCCTGCTACGGCTTCTTCTCCAGGTAGCTACCGTACCGCAGATCTGCTTCTTCTCATCCGTTCCTTCGTTATTTTCCCTATATATAAAGCGAATATTTCTGCTATGTTGTTTGACTTCATGTATATATATGTATCTACGTATGCACAAAAAAAAAGGGAAAGTAGTCGGGTGCAATGACACGCCCATACAATCTACGCTCGCCGACCTCTTCATCCACTCCCCTTGTACAGATTCATCCTCAGGTAAGCCTGCCTACCTAATCTCTGCTACCTACAGTACCTATCTGCTGCTAAATTTGTCTTCACTGGGTAGATATTTCTGGCCAAGCAGCTTGCCCAGGACCGTGCTGATTCATATTACTCTTGTGTTGTGGCTCAGATGATGCTTTGGGCGATCAGGAAGACGTATTTGGGGGTGTGCAACTCCATGAAAAATACAGGGGAGATATGGATATGGTGACTAGCCAGGTTGCCAATAAGAGGCAGTCGTTTTCGATATGGGAGCATTACGAGCTCGTGGACCAAGATGGAAACGATTGTCGGGTCAAATGTGTTCGCTGCGGCTCGGAGCTGATGGTTAGGCACGGATTGAGCCCATCGCATTTGAGGCGCCATGTCAGGAGTGCATCTTGTGAGAACAAAAGCGAAGCAACTCAATTTTTGAACCGCACACATAGTGCTCGGAGAGAGCAGGAAGACATATTTGGGGCAGTGCTAGTCAATAAGAAATCAAGGGGAGATATATATGCACAGAGTAGGCAGGGTGGCAAGACACGGTCACCGGTATGGGAGCACTTTGTCATCTCGGAAGCTGATGAGAACAGCAGGCCTGTGAAAGCCAAGTGTGTTCACTGTGGCTCGGAGCTCAACTGTGGACCCAAACATGGGACATCAGGTTTGAAACGCCATATTGATAGTGCAGCTTGTACCAAGAAAAAACATGCAGCCGACAAGCCGCTAAACACTTCAAGGTACTGCATTTGATCATTGGATAACCCCCCACACGCACACGCACACAACTTTTTTTAATAGCATACTAGTAATAGGGTAATGATACCTTAGGAAAATATTACTACTAAACTTGGTCACCAAAAGAAAGTTGATTCAGTTATCAAGCGAACAATCTTGATCCGCTTCCAAATATATATATGTAATTTAGTTAATCAGAGTAATTCTCCCACCCTAGGAACATTTATGTGCATGTGGAATTTTCTTCATTTCAGCATCTGTGCAATTTGGACAACCCACAATTATTCTTTTACCTTTGCCTGCAGCAGCGCTGACAGTATAGAAAATGTTGAAACTGTTGTGATTCCTGGTTCACACAGCAGAAAAAGGAGTAGAATGGATGCGGAGTCAACATGCGGGACCAAGCCTAAAACACACCTTTGGAACAAGGCTGAATCTTTGCATAGGATACAAGAAATAACTCGCCTGTTACAAGACATATCAGGGGTTCTGAGTAAGGTTCTCAAGTTATATGGATCAGATTTTGTTGCAAGCTCAAATCACTATCGAAGTACAATATCAGATCAACACCTACAAACATCAAGTGTTATTGCAAGGAAAGTCTATGGAAGAGTTACAGAGAAGGACTACATCATAAAGTTCATGACACAAGACAAACCCGATGGTTCATTTGTTCTTCCTATTGTAGGCAGTGCAGGAGTTGGGAAGACTGCTCTTGCTCAGCTTGTATACAATGACCCAATCGTGGCAGAGCACTTTGACCAAAGGATATGGGTTTCGGTGTCTAACAACTTCGATGAACTAAGACTCTCTAGAGAGATCTTAGATTTTGTCTCTCAGAAGCAAACACATGAAGGAATATGCAGCTTTGCCAAGCTTCAGGAGGTCTTGAAGATGCATATCACATCAAAGAGGGTTCTGCTTATTTTTGATGATGTTTGGGATGACTCTAACTTCCGCAGATGGAGCCAACTATTGGCTCCTTTGCAGTGTGGCACAAAGGGTGCTGTGATTCTTTTGACAACTCAAAAATTGTCTGTTGCACAAACTGTTGGTACAGTTGAACCAATTAAGTTACGTAGTTTAGCATATGACGATTTTTGGTTATTATTTAAATCATGTGCATTTGGTGATGAGAAGTATGAAAGGAATCAAAATCTTAGCATCATTGGATTGCAAATAGTAGAGAAGTTAAAGGGAAACCCATTAGCAGCAGCAACAGTAGGGGAACTATTACGAAGGAGCCTTACTATTGATCATTGGAATAACATTCTGAAGAATGAAGATTGGAAATCTCTGCAACTCAGTGGAGGTATAATGTCTGCTCTGAAGCTTAGCTATGATCAGCTCCCCTACAATTTACAACAATGCTTCTTATGTTGTGCTTTATTCCCCGAGAAATATCAGTTCCTCGATGAGGAGCTGGCCCGAATTTGGATTTCCCAGGGATTTGTGAAGTGTGATAATTCAAGTAAGACACTTGAGGAGAAAGGATTGGACTATCTGGCTGATCTTGTGAACTTGGGCTTCTTTCAGCAAGTCGAAAGAGAAGAGACCGATCAAACTTGCTACATTATGCATGATCTTATGCATGATCTTGCTAGGGTAGTCTCAAGAACTGAGTTTGCAACTATAGATGGCCTGCAGTACTGTGAGATCCTGCCAACTATACGCCATTTATCAATAGTAAGTGATTCTGGATACAACGCAGATCAGCATGGAGACAAACCTCGCAATAAGAAGTTTGAGAAGAAAATGCTTGCTGGATGTACATCGCTGAGGAAATTGAGGACATTGGTATTCATTGGGCAGTATGACATGTTCTTCAAATCCTTTCAGGATATATTCCGGGAGGCACATAATTTGCGCCTGCTACAAATTTCTGCAGCATCTGATGGTTTAAATCCTTTACTGTGCAGTTCTGTGAATTTGAAACATCTTCGCTACTTGGACATCAAAGCTGCTGATGGGCTTGGTGCTTTGCCTCAAATTTTGAGCAAGTTTTGCCATCTTCAAGTATTACATGTTGGCTCATACACCAATCCTACTATGCCTGTCAGCATTGACCATGTTTTTAGGTTGCGGCATCTTGTTATAGAAGAGGGGGCATACTCTTCCATTGCTAACATTGGTAACCTGACATCTCTTCAGGAGCTACCCAATTTTGTGGTTCAGAATTCAAGCGGCTTTGAGATAACACAACTCCAGTCCATGAAAGAGCTTGTACGACTTGGGGTGTCTCAACTTGAAAATGTTAAAACTCGGGAGGAGGCTTATGGGGCAGGATTAAGAGAGAAGCAACACTTGAAAGTGTTGCACTTGTCCTGGGGAGTTGCCTCGTCAGATGGTGAATATGGTAGGGACATGAACTCTGTTACAGATTGGTTGTCGGAGGATGTTATCGAGGGCCTTAAACCACAGAATAACCTAAAGCATCTGCGGATATCTGGGTACAATGGGCATCTCTCCCCAATTTGGCTTGCCTCGGTTACCTCTTTGCAAACGCTTCATATAGAGGGTTGTGGAAAATTGGAAATGCTTACATCTATTGAACAGCTTCCTTTTCTTAGAAAGCTGAAGTTGATGAAACTGCCAAGTATGACAGAAATGTCAATTCCTTCATTGGTGGAACTGGTATTAATTCAAATGCCGAAGTTGGAGCGGTTTTCCTGCATTTCCACTAGGGACTTGAGCTCTGATTTAAGGGTTCTGAAGATTAAGAAGTGTCCTGCAGTGAAGATCTTTCCTCTATTTGAGAGCTCGCTGAAATTTAAAATCGAGCAGAAGTCATGGTTGCCCAGTCTGAGGGAACTCGTTATCCATGGATGTCCTAATTTACTTGTGCCACATGCCATTCCTCTATCACCTACAATTTCCAAACTATCCGTCGTTGACGTTCCAACACTCCCAAGGATAGAGGGATCTTCTGGTGACACATTAACAGTTGGATCCAGAAGTGAGGGCTATGATAATTTTGATCCTTCTTCTGATGTGATGACTACACTGGATTGCAAAATTTTGGCATTCCACAACCTGAGGGGCCTCAGATACTTGCGTATAGATGGTTGCCAAAATCTAGTGTCTATTGCATTCACAGGATTAGGGGAACTTATTTCTTTAAGGAGTTTGGAAATATGTAGCTGTCGAAAACTTTTCTCGTCAAATGTTATACCAGAGCATACCCGTTCAGATGAGACAGCTGCAAGTTGCAAGCCCCTCCCATCTCTCGTCACTCTCAGAATTAAGTGTTGTGGAATAGCAGGAAAGTGGCTATCTTCGATGCTGGGATATGTGCCGGCCCTGGTGGAATTATTTTTAGAGGACTGCCCTGGGATAACACAGTTAACGATAGAAGGAGAAGAAGAAGAAAACATTCAACCTTATGGTACCTCAGTTCCAGTGGATTCATCATCAGGAGGTCCAGATGACACATTGCTGACAAGCTCAGCCCAAGATGGACTCTTGTGCCTTCCACTAAATCTCATGTCCTCTCTCAAGAAGATATCGATTTGGGAGTGCCCCCATCTAGTATTTCACAGGAATAACAAAGACTTGTCTGGATTTACCTGCCTTGAGAAGCTAACAATTTGGGGATGCCCCGGGCTGCTCTCATCTTTGGTGGATAAAGATGGAAATGATGATCAGAGGAACGGAAGATGGCTCCTACCGAAATCACTTGTAGAACTCGAGATCCGTGGTGATTCACCGGAAATGCTGCAGCCCTGTTTTGCAGGGAATGTAACCAACCTCAAAAATATAGAAGTGTGGTTCAGCCCAAGTCTGAGATCTCTACAGCTGCATACCTGCACATCACTGGAAGAGTTGATAATTGGAAACTGTGGATCACTTGCCGCACCAGAGAGCTTGCAGTTCCTTGGCAGCCTTAAGTATTTGAAAGTATTCAGATCCCCTGGTGTGCTTCCATGTTTGGAGAATTTGTCAAAGCAGGGCTATGCTTTATTCCCTGGACTAAAAAGGCTTGTGACCGATGGCCCCTCTGTCTTTACCATGTCAGTCTGCAAGCAACTCAACTCCCTCCAACGCCTAGAACTTGAAAACTGGGAGTTTGTAACGAGACTAACAGAGGGGCAGGAGAGAGGGCTTCAGCTTCTGACATCATTGGAAGAGCTGGAATTCCGGGGTTGCAGTTCCGATCTCAAATATCTTCCTGCGGGGTTGCACAGCCTTCCTTCGCTCAAGAGGTTGAAGGTCAATGGTTGTTTAGGAATCTCAAGGCTGCCGGAAAAGGGCCTCCCATCCTCGCTGCAAGAACTGGATATCAGCAATTGCAGCAAGGTGTTTAATGATCACTGCAAGTCTCTAGCAACAGGGAAGCTAAAGGTCAAAATTGTTGGAAATACACAAACTGCTTAATGCTTGGCGTGTTAAGCGCACTTCCTACAAGGGTAACAGATATCACACCAGTGCTTTCCAAGGTATTCTACCATTAATCTCGTTATTATCTTCAGAGTTGACACACTCATCTATGTGATGCTAATGTAAGCAGCTCCTCTGCAGGGGATATGATATGGTTGCTGCAGGGATGCACCATCGTCAGGATGAGGGCATCCCTGCCTTTTCTGGATCACAAGTTTATGCTTGCAGACCATAAGCTAAATCATATGTTTCTCTTTTTTATTTCAGAGGCGTCTTTTTTTATTTTAAAACAAACATTTCTCAGTACTTCAACTGGAAAATACCGATCTTTTTGTACATATTGGCAGATTGTTGGTGGATTTCATTTCTTTATTTGAGAACCACATCTTTGTGTGGTCATTCAGTTGATTGCGGTATTGATAGCACTTCTCTCTGAACTATCGTGCCCAATCATATATCAACTTATAGCCGCCAGTTAGGAGGTAAAAGCGGTCTGCTTCATTCATTGTTTGCTATTTGTCTCAGCTTGTTGAACTCAACATGATCGTTTGCCATGTCCTTGACTAGAGAAGGAACCACGTGGCATGGCGATCGTGCATTGCATGAAGGTGGTCAAATCATTTTCTTGTTGCTACAACACCATTTGTACTACAGATATATTCTTCACAATTGCTGTAGTTTTTTGGGTTTTAGTTGCGAAATGCATAGCTTAAAGCAAGTGCAGAAGAAAAACTTGCGGAAAGAAGGCATTGAAATTTGTATGTGGTTAAATGTATGATGTGAAATGATGCATGGTGTTGTAGCAACAAGTAATTAGTGTTGCTACCTGAAAACAATGCTACCTCAAATTGGAGCAGACTTTATTTGAACTGTTGTACCTGAATGTTGCGGCTCTCTGTAGTGCTCACTATGCAGCCTCTTGGGGAAAATCAGGTCTGCAACTTTTGAAACCGATTCCCTGGTTTCTCTCCTCTCATTGTACGTGAGCCTAGTTGGCACGTACTCCCTCCGTCCCATAATGTAAGACGTTTTTTGACACTACAATAGTGTCAAAAAACGTCTTACATTATGGGACGGAGGGAGTAGATATTTACTTATCGAAAACCGCACACCTATGACCGTATTCAACCGGGGTGGGCCTCAGCCGCTAATCCGCTAATCCTGACCCAATTGATTTGCTCCACATCAGCCCGTAAGATGAGTTACGTAGAAACTGGATGTAGGTCTAACATTGCTCTTTACTCATTCCTGTTTCCTACCCAGACATCAATGAGAAGGCATCAACTCATGTAGCAAAAAATGGTGTCATGGGTGCTAACTCATTCCTTACTAGGCGAGCACCATCTACCATTCCGCTTTATCCTCGGACAATAGGCATGAGTATGATTGCTTGTCATGTTCACACATCGCACAAGCAACAACACCACCTACATCTCCCGCCACCCCGCCCGTCCTTCTCATTGAAAGGCGGAGGACTGGTGAACCTACCCCTTGTCGCTATCTATATCTCCTTCGAGCCCCCTCCATCTCATCGAGCGAGAGCAAATCAAGAACCAACGATACATGTGGCGCCAAATGCATCATGTGGCACATGTGGTAAGTTATCCAAACTATTTTAAAACAAAAACAAGCGCCAAATGCAATTCTAAAGTTAGAAAAAAGAGTACTCCTTCCGATCGATATTACTTGTGGCTCAATGCATTTATCTAGACGGAGGGAGTAGTAAGGACAATGGTTTTAAGCAAGTTACATGAAGAAGTTAAGATTTTCTTTTACATGAAAAAGATTTAAAGAACTGTATGTGATCTTGGATCACTAAAATGAAAATATGAAATCTTTGACTTGTGCAACACTTGTTCTTAAGCTTTTTAGGGGTCACCTTCCATTTCAATGTTGTACCTACAAGAACTTTTTCTAAAATATACTTTAAGATATCAATAATTATTTGAGATATGTTGACATGAATTACCAAAATCCACCTTGGGGATTAGATGCACTTTCAACATCATCCCTTACCATGTTCACACATCACGCAAGAGACGACACCACCGACAACATCTCCCGCCACCCAACTCCTCCTTCTTGCGAGAGAGGGAGGGATAGTGAACATACCCTTGTCGCTACCTATATCCCCTTCCAACCCCCTCTCCTCAAAAAGAGCCAATGGTTAAATGATGTACATGTCATCTCATTGTTTCCGACAGGAAACACCACATGTAATTGTAAAGTTAGAAGAAAAGAGTAATAAGAACAAGTTTTTTTAGGATTAAGAACAAGGGTCTAAGGAGATAGAGATTTGGTCCCTTGCAGAAACTAAGGGAGATAGCCAATGTTGGAGTTGAGTGGTTGCTGGAGGTCTTGCACCCATTGGGAGAGTTGGAACGGGCCATGGTGTTGTTCACTTTCTGGAGGAGCTGGCATAACCGAAATGAAGTAGTACATGAGAAAGCCCCAACACCGATGGTTGTGCCCCGCTGGTTCCTATGTAACTACTTGTATTTGATGATTGCTATCACCCAAGATTCCATTTGTGATCTAGTGAAAGGCAAAGTAGTAATATCATATGCCCTGCTGCCCCCTCGTGATCCAACTTTGGGAGTGCATGAGTGAGGTTTCGCCCTTCCGAAACTAAGGGCGATGTCCTATGTTGGAGTTGAGTGGTTGTTGGAGGTCTTACACCTGCTGGGAGAGTTGGGATGGGCCATAGTGTTGTTC